CGCCCCCCCCCCCCCCCCCCCCCCCAACCCTGAGCTGTGAAGTGCTCTTGGGGCAGGAAGAGGCAAGCAGAGAGAACCTGACCTCATGGAGCCCGGCTCTAATGAGCATTTACAAACAGCACATGGAGGGGTCATGTGACAACACAAAGGGTTCCTGGTACACTATCAGGGGGTGAGGCCCAGCTATAAGCCCAAACTCCATCTGCCTGCAGCCTACGACATAGCTAACCCTCATTGTACCCCCATCTCTACAATAAAAAGAAAAAGCCGGGTTCAGTGGCTCAGCCTATAATCCCAACACTTTGGGAGGCTGAGGTGAGTGGATTGCCTGAGCCTGTAGGGCTGACACCAGCCCAGGCAACTTGGCGAGACCTTGTCTCTACAATACATTTTTAAAAAATTAGCCGGGTTCAGAGGCTCAGCCTGTAATCCTACGCTTTGGGAGGCTGAGGTGAGTGGATTGCCTGAGGCCGCGGGTTCGAGATTCGCCTGGGCAACTTGGCGAGATCTCATCTCTACAATAAATCAAAAAAATGGCCGGGTATGGTAGTGCGCACCTGTAGTTCCAGCTACTTGGAAGGCTGAGGTGGAAGGATCGCCAGAGCCCAGTAGGGCGAGGCTGCAGTGGCCGGGAGTGGCCACTGCACTCGGGTCTGGATGACAGAGTGAGACTCCAACCCCCCAAAAAAAATTAGCCGGGCTCGGTGGCTCAGGCTATAATCCCACGCTTTGGGAGGCTGAGGTGAGTGGATCGCGTGAGCCCTGGGTTTAAAACCCACCTAGGCAACTTGGTGAAACCTCATCTCTACAATAAATAAAAAAATTAGCGGGGCGTGGTAGCATGCGCCTGTAGTTCCAGCTACTTGGAAGGCTGAGGCAGAAGGATCGCTGGAGCCCAGCAGGTCGAGGCTGCAGTCTGCGTGATAGAGTGAGACTCTAACTCAAAAAAAACCAAAAAAACAAATTAGCCGGGTGTGGTAGCACACGCCTACAGTTCCAGCTACTTGGAAGGCTCAGGCAGAAGGATCGCTGGAGCCCAACAGGTCGACGCTGGGGTGGCCATGAGCGTGCCACTGCACTCCAGCCTGGGCCACGGAGTAAGACTTCAACTCAAAAAAAAAAAAAAAAAAAAAAAAAAAAAAAA